AAAAAAAATCTTTTTTGGCTGATTTTCTTTTTTTAGTTGAACGAACTCGGAACTGGCCAGTTGAATCCAAAAATGCTGCTGAATCTATCTTTTTCACAGCTCGACGTCGGACAGGTGTCTGTAAATCAGATGACTCGCTGAGTGAAGGCAAAAACCTGGCCTGCTAAGATCAGCATTCCAAATCAAATCAACTAGTGAAACACAATTTTCAACATGTGGACATGTTCTTACAAGCTTGCAGGCCAGACCTATCAACTCAGAGCCTCACAGGGCCTCACGCTCGACAACGGCTTCACTTCTTGGCCTGTGCCTCGCTGGTCATCATGGTCATGATGCTGTTGGTGGTGTCCAGGAAAGCTTTAAGCAAAGATGCCCTCTGTGGCTCTTGTGTCTCCTTCTGCTCCTTGTCTTTCCAAGGGTCGCATCCAGAACTCAGAGCTGGAGGAGGCTCGGACTTCTCCCTGCGAGGATCTCCAGGACTGCGAGGATTGCTGGCCTCGCCATAGTGACCACCAGGCAAGCTCCTACTGGCACGTTCCCTGAACTCCCTGGCCGCAAACTTTTTGGAGTTCTCCTGAGCTTCCTTGCTGTCTGGGTGCTTGGCCCAAATGTGTTGCGCCAGAGCAAACTCTCCTTGCAACTGGCCTCGTCCACACAAACTGCAAGACAGTGTTGGTGGAGCCACTTCCATCTTATGAGTCCCTCCAGGACCCTCTTGCAAGTGGACGCTGCTCTTTGCTCGACGGAAAGGCTTCGGAGAAACACATTCACCCTCAGGTTCATTGGGAGTGCCAGCTTTTGCATTCGGCCTTTGCTTGGAATGCTCATGCTCAGGCTTCTCCATTTTCTGGTGGCCAGAAGGTGCGTGACTCTCATTGTCCTCACGGCTTTGGACCTTTGATTCGTCACGGCCATCATCCTCACGAGCCTCACGACGTCGCTTAGAGCCAGCAGCAAGACCATCACAATCACGCTTCTCACGCTTCCTGGAACGTCCACGATGACGGGATCTGGACTTGGTGCGCTCTCGCCTCTCCCTTGCCCTTCGAGCACGTTTGCGGCGGCTTTCAACTTCTCCATATGTACAGGTGGACTCGTCATCATCATCAGAGCTGAGAGAGACCTTGCGGACTCCAGCTGGGTGCGACTGCGGGAACTGGTTGCCACGGGCCTCACCCTCCCCAGTGCCAGGTTCAGCTGGAATGGTTGGCTCCTTCCCCTGCTCGTCAGAACGTCCCCTGCGCCCCATCGCTTCGCCACTCACCTGGCAGGCAAATCAATCAAAGATACAAAGCTGCTAAAAACACAACACTCAAAAAAGACAGAAAGTAGAAATGCATACTGCAAAAGGATCACAGTTCGGGGTTGGATATGTAGCCACCTCGTCACAGGTTAGGCTTTACACATCGCCCACTGTGGCCCACAGAGGCCAGGCCATGGGTTGGAACGGCGGCCGCCCAGACAAGGGTTGGGCTTAGCCGTTCGCCCTGGCCACCTCTGCAGCCTTCGGGTTAGATTGCTGACACGCCCAGGCCATAGCCAAGGTTGGTGTATGGCAATCACCCTTGAAGAAATGCTTACCAAACAACCTCCCAAAAAAAAAACATCATGAATGCGTATAATGCGTATAAGCCCGCCTCCAAACCCTCAGTGGCTGCAAGCAAACTAAAACCAAACTGCACAGTCATCCACTGACTTCACAATTGAGCCAGAGCAACAAGTACAGAAAGCATATCGAGTGAGACAGGCACGCTGCAAAAACATATCAGTCTTAGCACTTGAAGCTACCAGCGGTGACGGTGACATGACAACAGGTTTCAACAGATGTTCCAACAACGGAGCCTGACCAATTTTTCTAAATCGTGAAACAAAGACTCACTTGAACACAATTTTTGCCACAAACGTTGGAATGAGCCAGATTCGGCCTGCCCAGACCTGGTGTTCAGGAATGGTCCTAGGGGACTTGAGAAGGCCAAACATTCAAAGCAAGGCAAATCTCAGTACAAAGCTTGGAAGCGAAGCATTCGAGCAACATTAGCTGTAGTCGGTTCCATGCCTTTGTGGGCTTCGGAACATGAGGCATCTTTGCCTAAGGCATTCCACGCCAAGAGCCAAGCCTCGGCTTCTTCTTTGGACTTGTGGTTTCGCACAAAAGTATACTTTCGGCAATTTTGGTGATGACAACACGCTGTGAAGCACCTCAAGTTGCCAGAGGAATGCGTGAATCGATCATACAGCACATAGGCTTCCTTCAAAGATGGTTCTTTGCAGGTCACCTTTTCAAGGTTCATGGCTGTGTCGGGCATTGCAAGGACCAAGGGATCACTGCTCAATGTAGGAGGGGGAGCCTCTCCTTCTTCCTCATCTGGAAGCTCCAAGTATTCCTCGCCAGGAGGAAGAGAAGCCTGGTCTCGGGCATGTTTTTTTTTTTTTTGGCTGCAGGCTTGTAATTGACACATTGATCTTCCTGCAAACCTGTGAAGGCCTGTGTGTTAGCTGCAGCCAGCAAATCGGTGTAGTAGCTTGCAGGGGCTAAGTGGTGGATTTTCGAAAGTCCTCCAGGCCTGTCAAACACCAGGTCACACAGCAGCATGGCTTTGAAGTAGGCCTCAGGCCTCTTCCAGACTTGGTCACACAGAATTTTTCTTTGCCTTGATAATGCCATTTGATGGTTGGTTTCCACTTTTTCATGGACCAACCATCCTGCAACAAGGCCAAAACAAAAGCCAAACGGCAAGAACGCTTTGATCTCTGACGGATTCCTGTTGTTGTGTAGAAACCTTCCAGCAAGGGCATAGGGTCTTCCAACCTCATTGCTGGAGACACGTGGCACGCATCAGTGAGCCAGTATCGGTCATCCCCCAAATCATCCTGCTCGCAGGACACAATGCCCAAAGATTTCATGGCCTGCAAGGCAGCTGTTTCGAAATATGGCATGTCCCACAGACCACAGGCAGCATCAGGCCCAAAAGCTTTCTTTCGCACCAACGACATCAGAGTGGCTCGTTCCTGTTCCCTCAAAGAGCGGCCCTGGACAGCCACTGACATCTGGAGATCTTGCACGCCCTGCTGATAGGACGCCACTGCTTTCTCTTCGGCTGTATCAACTGCAAGCAACGCGTGCAAGGAGTCATCCTCCAGTAACACATCGGGCAACAACAAGGGTTCACTAGCAACAGAGCTGGCAGGGCAAAGGTTCAGTTGTAATTCAGAGCAGCCAGCTTTCCACACAGTGGCATTCTGGCAAAACTCTTTGAAAAGCAAGGGCTGGGTCCATTCGCAAAGGTTCAAAACGCAACTTTGCCTGCCTTGCACATTCAGCATGGCTACGTTGCTTTCTTTCCAACACCAAGACACTTCTGCAAAATGGGACACATAGAGAAGGGTAGGCTCTGGTCTGCTTTTGCGCAGCTTGACCACAACCTTTGCTTCTGGGCGAGCATCCAGTACAGAAAAAAACACATGCTGCTGCAAGAGGTTGGGAGAACCCAATTTGCCTGAAAGCATTGCGGACTCCAGAACCAGAGGCTGCATGGGTGGAGGTGCGTCCTGGGCCCCAGGGCTGGAACAGGTGGCAGCTCTCCATAATTCCTTTGGCACAGAAGCAAAAACTCCATTGGGCAAAAAATGTTTGATGAGGTACACTACTTGCATCGCTTCATTTGGCAGCACACGGGCCCCATCATCCAGAGCCTGCTGCACTTTCTTCACACTTTTGTGAAAAGCTGCAGCCTCCAGTTCCCATTTCGACAAATCTGAAAATTGGTCTTTAGGGTTGCATGCATATACACGCTGGCATCTCTGCGCAAATGTCAAGTTTTGGATTTGTTCCTTGGGCAAAACATGCTCCAATAAATTCACAAAAAGCTTTTGCGCATGCCAGACATCTGTCAGCCAATGCATATGACTCTCGATCATTTGCAAGACCTCAGCCTTTCTCTTTCTGGCAGCCACCATCACTGGCCCTGCAAATCGGAAGCCCCTTTGCGCATGAAACTTCACGCGAGCGTGCTCTCCTTCGGTGTGTCGCTCAACACAAAGAGCAAAAGCACGAGCTCGAAGAGCTAGAAAAGCATCTGGAAAATCATGCAGGGATCGATCTGATTGAGCTGCAAAAGCTCGCAGCTGGGCACTCACTGCATGATCGTGCTCTAGTAGCAAAGCAGAGACGCTGTCCTTGTTGTGAGGGGCCATGGCTTCGTATTCTGCAATCCCATCCTGCACAGCTTTTTTGGCAGCAACCAAAGCATAGCCACAGTATTCACCAAAAGCGCCCACAAGGACATACGGCAAAGATTGAAAAGGTTTCAGCTTGTGCTCGACAATTTGGCAGAACTTTGTCTTGCATTGCACATCTATTTCGGCCATTCGGTGGCTGTTGTGCTGATCACTCGCCAAAAGTGTGGCAGTGTATTGCCAACTACTTGCATTCATGATTCGATTGCACAAATCTGCTGCGTGGCCCAAAGCCAGCGAGGGTAACCTGCGCCCTTGCCAAATACAATTGCCTGTGGGGCAATTGGCTTGAACCATCGCCTTCTTCCTAGACCATCGGTTTGCTTGCGAAACCAACACATGGGAATGGCAATAGCACCCCTCAAACCAAGTCGCTTCCCTGCCAACGCTGCCAGCAAATGAGCACAGCCAAGATAAAAAGAGATGATGCCAGGAACTGCTGAGAGACTCGGTGACCAATTCCACATGCTTGCTGTTCGTATCAGGAAAAACAGTGGGGTCCCATCTTTCCTTCAAAGAAGCATAGACACCAAACCATTCTTCCACAACTTGCTGGAGGCTTTGCCATCGCCAATTCAACAATTTCGAGCTGAAGGCTTCAACCAGGGCTCGCTCTTGCCACGGAGCACCCTGGTACAATTTTTCCAAAACCAAGCTTTTGGAAGAAGGTTCAGAAACAATGTGACAAACAGCCTGCAGCTGTTTTTCCATGACCTTCCACTCGTCAACCTGCAAGATTGTTTCCTCAAGGGCATTAAACATGATGTGCAAAATTCCAGGTAAAGAAAAAGCTCCAGGGAAAAGCAAAGGGTCATTGAGAAATGGGAAATGAACTCGCCAAGGTCGCCTTCGATGTTGACAGGGAATTGAGGCAAATTTCTTTCAGTACCTTGATCTGACAGAAAGGAAGCTACCTGCCGTCGCCACAAAAGAAGGTTAGCTTGGCCATTTTCCGAGCACCCACAATGTAGCAAGAGCCTAGCTTTGTGCGCCGTGCTGGCTTCGCCTTTGCCCAGGGTCAAAGCAGGCAGGCTTCGGCGCTCTACCTCAAATCCTGCTGTGAAAACATCGGCGCCATCGAGCAATTTAAAAGAAACAGGCTGCTTCACAATGTCTTCAATGGTGCAAAAAAATTGGAATGGGCTTGGGGCGAGGCATCACTGCTCAAGAATCGATGGATCAAAAATTGAGGATTGGAAGGGCTGTGAAATACACGCCTGTTCAGCATCAAACATAAATCAAGCTTGATAAGAGACCTTCTCAAAGTCTCTCTCTTGGGCACAGCACAAATGCGCCCCTGCAGCCTCGACCCATCGGGATCTAGAATGCGAGAGCAAGTGGTCAAAATGCTTTCAGCTGAATCAAAATTTTGCATCACATAGGCCATTTGCGCAAACAATATTTCCTGCAACGGGCTCCTCTCTGACCTAGGATCTCCCCACCCCGATCCTCTAGCATAGTACTCCTCCAAGGAACCAAAACGTCCAGCAGAAGAACTGCTCTGATTTGGCCCTGAAGACTCACCAGGACCGCTTCCCAGTAACACCTCTGGCTCCACTTTAAGCTTTTTGCAAAAGCTAAGAGGCGATACAAGGCACAGCTGCTTTGAAGCTACTGCGCTTGGAACCCTGAAGATATAGCCGTGGTTGGCCCACGTTTGTGGAAAGCTGCCACGGCTTGGTTCGGAAGCGTTGGGCAGAGATGTGCCAGGCTCAACTTTTGTCAGCCACACACCTTGCTGCCCAACCAACTTCTGTTGAATTGCTTGACCCAGTTTCTGCACGGGTTGCATTTGCTTTCCTGGCATGTCATCTGCCCTGATCTGGATTGGCTCATCAAAAACAAAGGCGACAGAGAATTCCCAAACTGCTTGGTCCTCCCAGCCTTCACTGCTTTGTGGGCCAAAGCAAGTTTTTTTCTTTGCACGTTGAGAAGAGTCTGTGATCCATGCATCCTTCAAGAACTGGAAATCTGCATGACTTTCATCCAGTTTATGACAGGAAATGCATTTCCCAGAATGCAACACGGACCAGCCATCTGCAGAACTGCGGCCATTCGGCTTGCAAACATGTATGAAAAATGGAAAGACTGTCTTATCTTCCCTTGGAGTCTGCCGGCCCACAACGAGGCCAAAGCTTTTCAGGTCAGGCTGTAGTGAGACAGGCTCCATGGCTCCATGGCAAGCTCGCAGGATAGATTTCCAACAAAGATACACTTGCCATATGACAAAACTTGGAGTTGGAACCATTTACCATGAATGCTGAGGGAAACATCCTAAATGACATATGTGCAAAAACATGACACGCATCAATTCTATCGCACAACAGCCACATGACATGTTTTTCGCCCTGAGCAACAAGCAGCCTTTCGAAACATTGTCAAAACTCATCGGTCTGCGTGCCGCATAATTTGCTGCACACCTCAAAAAAATTATTATGTTTGCTCCCTGCAATGTATTTTTTCTAAAAACATCTTTTCGATGGTAACAAAACCTTCAAATGCGGTGAACCTATCAAACGGTTTGAACAACCTCCAACAACGATGGCTACCTTAGACTGACCTCTCTTCTCACAAGCTCAAATTCTTGGCTTCGATCAAGTGATCCAACGTCCATGACAATCGATTCATCAAGATCCTCCACCTCCACCACCACGGGCCCTTCACCCACCTCCACCACCGGTGCAACTGATGGACCAGGGAAATGAAGCGAGGATGGTCCTCCTGGAAGCAACTCGACCGGACTCTGATCTGGCGGCCGCAAACCTGAAGACTCAGTACCTGGCGATGGCCCAAGAATTTTATCAAGCTCTGTGATCTCTTCCTCTGCTGATTTCCTCGACGTCGCCTTCTTTTCTTTTGCAAGTTTGTCGTCATCAAGCTTGCGCTTCCTCTCATCTTCTCTCTTCTTATAAGCGACAATGTATCTTTCTGCACGTTCATGAACTCGTTCCACTCTAGCCTTACCATCCTCTGTTTTGCTCAACTCATTTGCAATCCTCGCCTTGCAAACTCTGCTGTGCTGACGATGAGCAAGTCCACTCTGAGCTGCCAAGCAACCATCACACCCTTCAGTGTATCCGAACTGCTGCAACTCCACGTCACGACGGATGTAGAGACCTCTTGGCACATAGTCCCTACCCTTCAACTTCACCACCGGCTCGGGCATTTTCGGTTCCTCCGATAGCTCAATCTCTATCGGTCGCAAGGGTCCTGGATCTGCAGTCACTGGTGGCTTCAACTGCCACGGCAACCCAATCAAAGACTCCAATGCTTCTTTCTTCCACTGCTCGTCCCTGGGCTTTCGCTTCACGCTCCAAGCTCGCTCAACTCCTCGATCCGTACCAATCCACTTCAAAGCTGCGCCGTCTTGCAAACCCAGATACACCCCATCTTCAAAACGAGGCTCAATCTTGGCAGGATTCCGTTCACCTTTCAACCTCTGAAAAAGAACGCATTCCCCAAATGCAGGAAGCTTCAGCTGCCACCGTTTCCCTGTTGACCTTTCATAAGGAGTTCTGCCATCTTGTCCTCTACTGAACCTGGATAGCAAAGTCCCTGCATAGTCGATCAACCAAGGCAAGATTGGATGTCGAGAAGATATGGCGGCCTCATAGTTAGCCTCCAAAGCTGACTTCAAGGTCCGACACATTCCCTGGAGCTTACCCACTGCATTCTCAATGGGTCCATTGGTCTCACTCTCCCCTTTGACAGCATCTTCAAAGCCGACACCGGGAAGTCTCGCCTGAACCTCATTGCGAAGCGCCACTAAAGACCGTTCTGTATCAGTCTTCAACACTGCATCTTGCAAGCCCAAACAACGAAGCAACTTGACAACAATGGTCACTGGATACTGATGATCTGTAACCCCTTTACACGGCATGGCCACTGAAGAAGTTCTTTGTGACTTCTCCTCCAAGATCGCCAGAAGAGGTAAACATTCCTCCTCCCGCCGTCCAAGATAAAAGTAGTCCATGCTCACCCGAGGCCTCCTCCTTGCTTTGTCGTCAGCATCCTCTCTCACTCGTTGATGTGCTAGTGCTCGTCCACGGCCTCTAACACAATGATTGCACCAACTCCTATATGGCAAATGAGTAACATTGTGCTCATCCACCTCCTGCGCACTCGGCTTCAAGGGTGTGCTTTGCGCGATCTTTTCGATCTCCTCACCCCCACTCAATTCTCCATGCAACTCCTCATCGACACCTCCCGCGGGTGCCTCATAGTCCTCCCAGCCCTCTGGGAAATAGTCACTGGTGTCTACGTTCAAGCTCATAGGACCTGCACCATAAACATCAGAACTTGGACGCACTGCTAATTCATGGGCCTCATCACGAGCCGCTGTTGTCTCCTCCTCGGCCTCCTCCGCGTTCACTGCATGAATGAAGAATGACCGATCAGGACTTACAGCATGTGCTGGACTCACCTCTAGATCGCCGGAGGCACAATCCACGGCGCCGGCCCGCTGAAACCCTCACGTGATGGATGCACAACATGCATCCTCTGCACATAGACACCTTCTTCCTGGTGCAACTGCATTCGCTCTCCTGTCTCAATTTCCTCAATCCAACTGTCCTCCCAATAGGGTGCCAACAAAATCCGATGACCACGATTGGCAACCTGCGCAGCAGACATGAGGACCTTGTGTACCTGAGCAATGCTGAACTCTGTCCCCCTCACCTTTCCTTCCTCTGTTACGATGAGGGGCTTCACTCGATACAACTCTGGAACAATCTCTCCATTCGCACTCAAGAAACTCACACCGTCAACTGGGGCCAACTGCTCATGCTCTGCAAAAGCTTCTGCTGGGGCAACCGACGCTGCAGCTCCTGAATCTACCGTCACTGTCAACGGACATGCACCTTGAAGATATTGCTCAATGCGACGCTCCATCTCATCAAAACGTCCCTGCTCTGCATCTGCCACAATGCGCCTTGCAATGGCCTGTGCCCTGCTCAATGCACACAAGTGTTTGATTGTCAAACTACCGATGCTCACTGGAGGCTTTGGCAATGCACTGGAAGCTGCACCTGGCGATGTCGGGGACGATGGAGTGGAGATCTGAACAACGGGCGCACTGGGTGCTGAGGACGATGATGCTCCTGTCGATCTCAACCGCTGAAACTCTTCCACAGCAGCCTTGGCATAATTCGACTGCAACTGAGACAACAAAGGCGAGGTCTCCTTATCAACTGCGTTCAAGGGCTTGGGACGGCTCCAACACTGATCCTTGTAATGACCTGTCTTCCCACAATTGTGGCAGACCGGCTTGGCTTTTCCTCCACCTTTCTTCCCTTCAAAGCCTTTGCCTTTCCCTTTGCCCTTGCCGCCATCGGGAATCTTGCCCTTCCCTTTTCCTCCATCCTTACCTCCTTTGCCTTTGCCCTTCTTGCAATCCTTCTGCATATGAGGACCTCCACAAATGTAACAACCACCTCCCTTGCTGACACCAACCGACCCAACATCCATTGTTGTCGACGCCACTGGTGCCACCTGCTCAACGTAACTCATGACCTCTTCACGAAGTTCAAGGTATGTGGTGTATCTTGCGGCGTTCATATGCAAGTGCTGCTTCAAGGCATTCGGAACCATGTGAACTAATGCAGCCATCTTCATAGCATCAGAAACACGATCGGCTCCTGGCCTCGACTCATACTGCACGATCAGGTTCTCCCAATTCACCAACTCAGCCGCCAACTTGTCAATGCTGATCGCTGCTGCCGGGTTGGTGATCTTCATAAGATCAGCTCTTTGACGGCCAATGGTGACCGGGTTGAACCGAATCTGAAGCAACCTGAATGCCTCAAAACCGTTGGGCCTCCTGGCTTGTCGAACCAAACTCCTGGCCTCACCCAATGTGTACGTGGTCAGCATGGCGTAAACATTTGTATCCGCATACTGTACCAACAATGGGTCCAAGTGCGGAAAATGCAACAAAACATCACCCTGCGTCATGGTTGTCTTCTGTTGTGATGTTGCAATCCATTCCAACACTTCATAGATACCAGGCATGTTTGAATCGCTCAATGTAATGATGCTATCGGCCCAATCCAAAAAACTACTCCTCCCATCCGTTGGATTGAACACTCCTGGCTTGCCCAACTGTTTACTATCAACTCCACCTTGTTGAATTGCATACGCAACAGCCGGACTGGTCCTGATGCTCCCGGAACTCGGACCTCCAATGTTGAACACTTGAGGTCCTCCCAACCCAGATGCCGCTGCCCCCGTCATCCCTCCAACAACCTGTGACCCGGCTGCAGACACACCGGCTTGCACAGGAGGGGGTAGATGCACGGGTGAACCACCTCCTGCTGGGGTCTGTTGACCTTGTGATGCCGGAGGATTTGGAGCGGGACTCAAACCTGTCGCCAACTGAGCTTGTTGCTGTTGTACCTGTTGGATCGCTTGACCCATCTGTTGCATCTGATCCTGCAATGTGGTCAAGATAGTTCCAACTTGGGTCAACTGCTCCTGACTCTGTTGCTGCTCATGATGAAATCCCGCTTGCACCTGAGATACCACTTCCGTCACAACCTGCTCTGTAACAGCCTGTGTAGCTTGAACTGCCGACCCAGTACCCTGAACTGCTTGGCTCAACGACTCGATCTGGGCTCTCTGCTGTTGCTGCTCCTGAAGCATCTGTTGTAAGGCCGAAGTCAAGGCGGCAAGATCTGGCTGTGCACCATCGGTCGCCATGACCAAATAGTCAAGACTGAAAACAATCCCAACCAACACAACCAATGCAATCAACGTTTGCAGCCCAATCCAACGCCAATGTACCCACCGTGCTTCACCGAGCACGACAACTCCGGCTGAGCGCTCTCGCTCTAAGGGCTGGGGAATCGGTGTCCTCCTAGCCCTCATGCCATGGCTGCTGGTTGGTTAAGCGGCCCAGCTCCGCTACCATGCGAAACCGTTTGCGGTCTTTTCACGGCTATCGGTCGGTACAGGTACTATACATGATCATAGCCATAAGGCCTTGACCTCAACCCTTGACAGATTTGGACCGGGTGAGGGTGAGGCCCAAAACTTTCACCCAGATTTCCCAAAACCCGACTCGACCAGGCCAGGTGCTGTGTCCAAAGTGGTCGAGCCTGACCCCACGGCGGACATCCACGACACCCCGGACGGCCCCGACGGGATCCGCAGAGTGCGGGCGAAAACAAACGTGACTGACTTGAGGGACTTGAGGGCCTTGTCATGACTTGCTTGGTCATTGTTCTTGCCGGCCATCTAGGTCTAGGTGTCTCCTTGCACTCGTCACGTGTGGCTTGCCGTGTGGCTTGCCGTGTGGCTTGCCGTGTGGCTTGCCGTGTGGCTTGCC